TTGTCAATCAGAGTCGTCCTGAAAAGGAAACGAGATCATCAGATTAACGGGTACTTATACATAATATGTATTCCGTGCCTAATAAAAAAATCAAACGTACAAGTATCGGGATTTCCGGATTGTCTGCGACCGATTGAACGTGGCCCTACTGTACCAAATAAACATTATTAACAATGTGTAAGGGGTAAAACTCATCTTTATAATGTCAAGCTATTACAAACTTTGTCTTATACCTTGACTCATCTTCACAATGTCAAGTTATTACAAACTTCATCTTATACCTTTACTCATCTTCACAATGTCAAGTTATTACAAACTACATCTTATACCTTTACTCATCTTCACAATGTCAAGTTATTACAAACTTCATCTTATACCTTTACTCATCTTCACAATGTCAAGCTATTAACAACTTCATCTTATACCTTTACTCATCTTCACAAAGTCAAGTTATTACAAACTACATCTTATACCTTTACTCATCTTCACAATGTCAAGTTATTACAAACTTTGTCTTATACCTTTACTCATCTTCACAATGTCAAGCTATTACAAACTTTGTCTTATACCTTGACTCATCTTAACAATGTCAAGCTATTACAAACTTTGTCTTATACCTTGACTCATCTTCACAATGTCAAGTTATTACAAACTTTGTCTTATACCTTTACTCATCTTCACAATGTCAAGTTATTACAAACTTTGTCTTATACCTTGACTCATCTTCACAATGTCAAGCTATTACAAACTTTGTCTTATACTTGCAAACTGCCATGATACAAGAAATATAGCTGTTGCAGTCAAGGTATAAGACAAGGTTGACATTGTGAAGATAGGGTGGAATTGTCCTTCAACCCCTAAACACTTTTAGCATATTCCCTAACGATAACGCGAAAGAAAAATTGATACATGTATCTGTGGATAGAAAAGAAAGCTAGAATAAATAACGATTGATCCGAATAGTCACCACCTACAAGATCCGGCAGACCAAATATACATCAGAGAATAATTAAAGCTAAGTTGCGTATCGAACTCGTCGTCTGTTACCTCGTTTAGAATGTTGACATAACTAGAAATACTAATAGAGAGTAGGCAATCGATCTTACCCCACCAAATTACCTTGTCCTTACGTCTCTTCTCTTGTCTTTTGTATAATCATGCTTATGCCCCCCCCCCCCCTCACCCCCTCTAATCTTACCACTGGTCCTTACGTCTCTTCTCTTGTCTTTTGTATAATCATGCTTATGCCCCCCCCCCCCCCTCACCCCCTCTAATCTTACCACTGGTCCTTACGTCTCTTCTCTTGTCTTTT